GACCGACGACTGACTGAGATGTGTTTGGGCAAAGCACCAACGCCTTGCCGCATGGCATTTGTCTTCGGTCGCGGACAGACTTTAAACGTGGCAACAGTCGTTGGCGCGCAGCCAGAGTGTGTGTAGCATTTCAGGTTATCAGGGTCTTCAATCTGGTCCCTCGACGGAAGGCTTTTCTCTCCATCCTAATTTACCTAAATTAACTCGCAGGCGCGTCTCTGTCAAACATAACAAAATAAAGATATTTTGTTGTAGCTGTAACTGAAGATGGTGGTGTAATTAGCGTCGCTTGCACGTGGGACGATTCGTTTGACGCAGTCTCGACTAAAGAGACTTCCCCTTAGTTTCGAGTAGTTTACCAAATACTATAACTTTAGTTAACCTCCCTGCCTCTCCCACATTTGTATCTCTCTGTCTTTTCCTTTCTTAGAATATTACCCTTTCCTAAACTGCAGAAAAACGTTGATACCAGTAACAAATTCACTAAAGCCGTGGATACTTGGTGCTTGTGTGGTGCATTTCACCCCGAGGACGGTGTTTTGATTTTCCGTCCATGATGGAAGCTCTTTAAAACGCATGCGTTCGACGTAGTTTCTGGTCTATACCTGACCATTGATAAGCTCAAAACGTTCAGACGAGAGGATAAAGACGCACATACGAAGAGGCGCTTAATACGCTTCTCAGTGAGCCAAGAAAAGATGAACATCGTGCACTGCGCCTTGCATGGGCTGCGCTAACCACGAAGCCCAATTTAGGAGGGACCCTCCCAGCCCCAGAAAAGTGTGCTTCGCAACCCTCAGTGAATTTTTGATGCTTCAGATACAAAATACGGGAATACTTATACGAAACATAAAAACTACGTTTGAAGATTTTAGTTTCGATTGATCTTAACGATAAGCCGGCCGCTGAGGTAGCTAAGCAGGTAAGCGCTGGCCACAAAGCCCGAGGTCATGGCATCGACACCCGGCCACGGCGACCATGTTTTGATGGAAGCCCAATACAAGAGGCTCGTGTGCATAGATTTATGGTATCATGTCGAGTGATAACAGACATGACATGGGAAACTTTATATAGGTCCATCGGGGCATGAGCTAGCACTGAGCGGGACGCTCCTACGTCAGGATACGTAGGTCCAGCCTCTCCGCCACGTAGTGGGCCCGTTGGACTGTCTATAGTCGGGTCATCAAATCCGGGCGGCGTAGTGCGGCATGTCACTTTGAGGATGTAACGGTGTCGTCCAACCGTAACGCAGGGCACCGCCAGAGCATGTGGTTTGCCAAAGTCTGAGCAGAGAACGCAAGTGTTTGACGTCTGAATTTCTCAGTGGATCTTGTGCAATAGGTCTTTATTCGGCAGTCATCCACTATGACATGCTTCGTAATGTTATCGTGTTTCTGTCTCATAAAAAGGGAAAAATTATTAGCGATAGTTACCCATACTTTACTCGTTACTACAAGGTGAAATTACGTGAGGAACCTCTCATATATACCTTGACAAAGCAACCACTTTTCTCGCTCTCATTCTTTTGCTATCTCTTCCCCAAGGCTTCATGCCATTCCCTTTCTGGAATTTTCTATTGTTACAAGTTCGGACAGGTCCAGATTACCTAAAGATTATTTGCTGTCAACTAAACATTTTGATTTCCCCATCTGGAACTCCATTGTGATGCTAGACAGAGAGCCTCGCCGTTTGTTTTCAGTGTACAGCAAATTTACCAACACACTTGAAACGAGTCAAACCAAAATGATGCACTGCACAGCTTCACAGCTGTTTCATAAAGTTCACATGCTCAACGACTCGTGCGCCTTCCGAAACATCTAAGCGGCGGGCAACTTACATTCCTTCAAGCAGATTTCTTTCCCTTGGATGCTTTTCTCCAAGAGACCTGGATTGTCGGGTGTATATGAACCTGCGTAGTAGCCAGACCATTCGCTTAGCTCTCTCCACCAAACCTGCGTCCACCAATCATATTCCAGCAGAAACGTGGCGAGCACCCATGCACAACGACCACAAACGTATAAAGAAAAAAAGAGAGACTAGCGCACGTCTGCAAACCTAGGTATGCTCAGCTGCAATAAGAGGAAACAAATTATCCTCGATAACGTTAAGAAAGGAATCTTAGCTCGAGGGCAAAAAAAAAAGAGAAGAAGCGGCAGCGAGAAATCTGCGGAGCAGATTGTAATGGCACACACCGGAGCAATACGTCCCCGTATCTTTGCTATCTATAGACGTACACGAATCCGTACTCGCTGCCGCAAATATAGCCATTCTCTTATAGCGCTGCCAGGCAGAGAAATGGCGGCGTTCCGCGAGTGAGCACTGCGTGCCTGTTCTGCGGGGCCGGCGACGCTTTATGGCCGAACCGAGACGCCCGCAGGGCTCATCGTCGTAAAGTGCGCCAATCATGGCCTCCGGATCCAAAGCGCCTGCGGAGGGCCGGAATCGGAAAGCGAAATCGCGCTCCTCGCTGAATCAGTACGGCTGGCGAAGCCTTATTTACGACGAAGGCGCGCCGAAAGTACGAGCTACCACTTCTTCAAAGGGTACCCAGTTTATCTCCTTGATGTCCCGCAGTATAAATGTGACGGTCGCGAAGTTGGGAGGCGGTGCCGTCGCTTTGCTGCTAGACGAGAGCGTCGCTTTGATTGCGAGAGTGCGGACGATGTGGAAATTCTTAAATTTAATTGAACACTCGTAGAATAAAATTGTGATGTTTTTTTATTGAATGTGTACATTTTATATGCTAGGCATGGCGATTTGTAACCACCTCATATTTTCTCATATTTTCTCACATTTTCTCATATTTTTCTTTGGTCGAGTATTGAATGATTTGTGCAATTATATATCTATAGTGTACTCTATGTAAATTACAAAGTTATGTTAATCTGTATGCAGGTATTATGAAGGTAATCTATATGTACTGAGCTATTTTGTACATCCGTTGGTGTATATTTTATTTTGTGTATGGTTTGTACGCAAGACGTGGTTATTAGTAGTGGGCTCGCATTTTCCTTCGGGTCCTGTACTAAGTTATTTATCTGTTCAGTACATTTTTTTTCCGCCATTTTTTTCCTTCTCTTGTTGTTGTTATTGTTGTTGTCTGTTTATGTACTGAGAACACCGTTGTACGCTGGTGCCAAAACGGGGGCCCGCAGGTTCGTCAAGCTATCCTTGCGATGGCTTTTTCTGCCGGCCTCCGGCATTGTGTACTATGTACATGATGTCAATAAAGTTCACTGTTCACTGTTCACTGTTCACTGTTGGAGCGGTTTAGTGGGTTCCTGTTTTTTTATTCATATCTCGTGGAGCAATGTTCTTATATTTGGACGTTGGGTTTACGTGGGAGTTCCACCTTCCCGTTTTAGACCACATCAACGCGCACGTGTGAGTGAACTTTCATTGAGGCCAGAGTAAACTGGGCAACCTTATGTAATTTCGTAGAGACAACAAGCTTACAGTTCACGTTTACATGTTTGGGAAACTTCAGCAAGTATGACACAAGTGCTCGATCTTATTTTAAAATGTACAGAGTATTACCTATAAAACTGTTATACAGACATAAGCTATGTCTAGAGATATTACGCCAGTATAAACTAAATACATCACTATTCTTGGACACATATTATGTGAAACAAACACCATACGAGCTGAGAAAGAGCCTAATATACAAATATAGATCACGCACGAACTACGGTGACCAACGATTAGCATCACAAATTCCAAACATTCTAAACAAACACCCAACTATATTACATTTACTGGAAGACGGAATTTCAGCTAGATCATTTTAAAAAATAACGAAAGAGTTCCTAGTAGATGAAAGCGATGCTTTTCTTGATTTTTGAAATTTGTAGTTAATGATGTCTTTGTATTCGTTGCACCTTGTTCATTATTGTTCCTTGCCTATTGTTTATTATACTCTAATTTGTCTTGTAGAGCAACTCGATTTTCTAGTCAAGATGTTTCTTGTTAATTTATTTGATAGAGGGCATGCATTTGTTTGTGTTTGCCACCACTCGAATGAGGACTGTTTGTATTTCTGTTCTTTTGTTCACACTTCTGGCGGTTCGTGTTTGATTATGGTGCCGTGTAAGATAACACGTGATGTTATAATTTTCTGAGTGCTGTGCTTGCGGTGTGTTTCTGCTTTGCTTCCAGGGTGGCATGACCTAGTCAGGCTTTTACTTAGCCTTTAGTCGTGTCCCTCAAGGCAATCTTGTTCAATTTTGCCTTGAATAAAAGCAAACCAAACCAAACCAAACCAAACCAAGTTAGAGCCCTTTTTCTTCAAGTTAATAGACTCATTCGATAAGCTAGATTTTGCTAAGCAGAAACTGTTTTCTTCACGTAAAGTTTTAGTTAAGCATTTCTCAGGCCGTCTTCTTCTATTGCTTTCTTCCCACGACCCACCTATACATCTAGAAGATTAGAATACTATTGTGCAACGTCTTATACGTCCACTTTTGCGTACATGCCGTACATCTTTGTGCGTGTTGGCTTCTCACCAGTCAGTTTGCATTGACGAGATAGAGCATAAATAGATTATATCGCTAGCTGCAGCGTCCGCGTTTCTTTAAGGCACTATACTGTGAAATTACACCGTGTCGCACGCTAAAAGAGCTACCTGTTAGCTTTGCTTTATAGGATCTCAATTTGTTGCTATTGCATTCATTGATTCACCGTTTGGGTGAGACTAGGAATATTTTTTATGCAGAATCGGGTGAGTCATGTTAGTGCCTTATATTTTAGACATACACGTGCGATGCAACGTTGCCAAGTATTCAAAATTGCAACGTTGATTTACCGAGGTCGTTTGCTTCGTATCATTGCTTTGTTGCACACAATCTTGTGGGCATTTTACACCTTGTGACATCTCCTTTACATTGATGTGATAAATATATAATATATTTCACTAAAGCACGTGCTGCTTTTTTCAATTATAGGCATCGGTGAAATTGGAGCTAGTACAATAAAATTCTTCATGCTCTCGTTCTTCGCAGGACTTTACTTCGGACTTCTATTTCCGGCAATCGTGGCGGGACGAGCGACTCTCGTTCCAGAAAAGCCCAGACCTCGAGAGCATGACGGTGGGCGCTGAAGTGGCCGAGAAGATCTGGGTACCCGACACCTTCTTCGCCAACGAGAAGAGCGCCTACTTTCATGCGGCCACCACGCCCAACACTTTCCTCCGAATCGGTTCCGGAGGAGAGGTTTTCCGCAGTATTCGGTAAGTTCCACGAATTCTACTTTAGGCTCTATGATAAGGTCTTTCTCGTTCTTCACTTAACTTTCTGTAGTTTTGCGCTTTTCAACATCTTCCCTATAACAACTATTACGTAAAAAAAGAGCTACGGAGCTACATACAGGCATCACTTAGGGGGACCACAGGGCAGTCAAAGGCGTGGACTAAGAACGTCGACACACGCACAGCACAGTGTTCACTTGTACGATATTCAACGTTGAGTAAACACAATTCTCTCATTTTTGCTGGCTGTGAAGCATGTCAGCGGCATATGTATTCAGTTCATCCTGTATCCTTGCCATGATAATTATGTTGCAAGTCAGGAAAAAGAAACGGCAGTGCTGTGTGTGTGTGTGTGTGTGTGTGTGTGTGTGTGTGTGTGTCCATTCTTTGTTCCTGTCTTCTAATGTGTGGTCGTCCCAGTGTTTTACCAACATGTCCAAGCTACTGTGCAAAATAGGTACCCGCCTCTTCTTAAACGCAACTACTGAAAAAATAAAAGACTTGCTCGTTGCTTCCTCGAGGTTCGAAGAGCGCATCCGGCCGCTTGGTGCAACTCTTGAAGCACTGTAATATAATGCTTTTGTTGTGCAAAAAAGACGTCCTAATCGTCTTTTTTTAAGTTATCATTATGGGACAAAAGAATAGCTTGAGGAGACTCTCTATTTTTAGTGCTCTGACTTTTAAGTTTTATTCACAGTCTAACACAGAAAGTGCATCAAGCCAATTGCTTCGAAAATAATTCAAATGGAAACGAACATGAGATATTAGTATTCACCGTTTATAAAGCAATGTTATATTCAGTATTCACAATGTCGGCACCTTTGTTTCATCAAGGTGCACGTGATAAAGTTCTTGAATGTTTGAAAAAAATCATTGTAAACAAATATGTCATTTTTTTCGCACATCTAGGTATCTTTAAAATAAGAATGAAAATAACTTTTAAAGCAAGGCTGAAATTTTGCGCGTATTCCAGAGCAATGGTATTGCCCAACGTACTTTTTTTATCCTTCATATTTATTTATTCATACTGCAGACTACAAAACGTGGTCCAAGCAGGACGGGCAATCAGGAATCACAAAAACAGAGGACTAAGATTGATCACGAACGTAATAAATAACAAAGTGAGTAAGATGAGGAAATATATACAGTGCTACATCAACAAATATACGCTATGAGACAAACATACTATACAAGGCGGTCACACTCAGACAAGGTGTTCCACTCGGACACTGTTCGCGGAAAAAAGGAAAATTTATATGTATCTGTTCTAGCAAAGTATGGTGTAAAAGAGTTTGGTTGGTGATGTCGTGTATATCTGGTTGACAGAGGGGTTAAATACAATGAAGGGTCAATCGCAACTCTATGGTTAAGCAAGGAACTCAGGAAGTCTAAGCGCAGTTGCCTTCTTCTAGACTGAAGTAGTGGAATGTTGTTAGCTGACATTAGTTCAGATGGAGAATCCTTGTGACGAAATTTAGAATATATAAAGCGAACTGCTTTTCTCTGAATTCTTTCCAATTTGTCTATGTTACATTTGGTTTAGGGATCCCACACTACGCATGCGTACTCCAATTTTGGTCGAATGTAGGATTGATAACACAGAAGTTTTACACTTGATGACGAATTGCGGAGCTTGTGTCTCAGGAAGCATAATTTTTTGAAAGCAGATGCACAAATGTTTTCAATGTGTGAATTCCAAGGCAGGTTAGTAGTGAACGTAACACCTAGATATTTGTAGTTATTGACCTGTTTAAGTGTAGATGAACCAAGGGAGTAAGCATAGTGAAGGGGATAATTTTTTCTGGTTATACACATGGAAACTGTTTTTTCTGTATTTACAATCATACCCCATTTGTTGCACCATTTGTATATGTAGTCTAGATTTTTGTGTAGCTCTATTCGATCATGTTTGTTATGAATTTCACGGAATAAAACGCAGTCATCTGCGAACAAACGAATCTGGACGGTTGGCTCAATTACATCTACAATATCATTTATGTAACACAAGAATAGCAAGGGCCCCAATACACTGCCTTGGGGCACACCCGATATGACCTGGCTTCATTCACAGAAATTTTAATACGCGTAATCACCACTCGGCGCAGATGTCGCGGGAATATTTGTAAACCTTCCTGGTTGTTTTAGACTGTTCACAATAGCAAGCATGGCCGCAGCAAGAAATTTTCTATATTTTTGCTTCAGATTTACATCTGATATCTGTTTAACATATAGACGTCTTTACAAAAATTGATAGTATCACATTTGCGGACACTAGCTGTCCCGTTTCACGGTCGATTTGAATAACTCAGTTTGCTTATTTTTCTTTCAATAGTCTTATACTATCAGAAACTATTAGAAATTGTGTGTTTAATTCACAAACAGAAATAAATTATTGAGTTCTGGTAAACTATTTACTAGCTTCCAAGCGATAATGGTATATGGTCCAATTTTATCAAGCAGTTGATGTAGTTGTAGCGAAAAGAGTGAAAAGCCTCAAAGGCTATAACATGTTTAGGAATAAACTACAATACCACAGAGAGGTTACTACATTCTGCAGTTTGTCATACCACGCAACAGCTATTATGTGGTTTTTCATTCTTTTCAAGTACTGCATTAAGCACAGCAGCGCACGTTAAACTCACAATAGGAGCGTCTCGGCTAACCGTAAGCTGTCAACTTAAATTAGTTACAAACTTATCAGAGACAGGAGAACATCAGTAAAGTTTCAATTCTAATACACATATACGTAGTTGGGGGCATATTTACTGGTGAATCGTCTTATGATGAACCCCTGGAAGGACGTATTGATATGGCGAATAACAAGTAGGTGTTGTTCAGAATTTTTAATGTCTCGCTGACAGTGCATTTCTGAATGGATTGACAGAATGGAGGTAAGAAGCAAAAGAAACGCGAAAAGCGACAATGTTGCTGTTTTTCGCAAATCATACCACTGCAGGTTTGCTGTTTAACAGGCGCTTTCAAAAGCATCACAAGACCATTAGCCCCGACCCTCAAACTGCATGCTCACTTTTCGGAACATCGCCATCCCCATTAAACTAGTAGCAAGCGACGCTTCAGTACTACGAACACTGCCGGCTCTCAGTGCGAAACATATACAAAAAGACGCTCTGTGCTCTCCAAATTTGCTGCTTGTAAGATATAACTCAGTGACGGCTATCATTAAAAATTGACACACAATTTTTAAATACCTGAATATTTTCGCGAACTACAAGAGACGAACTACCTATAACTAGGAGATACCATTGACGCTAACGTGTGTTTCGGTCTTGAAGCTAAAGATAAAAAAAGGTAGGTCCCATCCCTGCTTTCAAGTTTTAATTTTAGGGCACCTTGCTTTTGACCGAAACCCAAGCCGACATTGAAATCAGTATAGAACCATGATGGGCTTCAGCAGCCCTGTCAACGTGGAGTAAAAAGCTGTCGATTGCGGAATAAAGTCTTGTTATTGGCTATTCTTTAGTCGGGCAGGTACCGCAACGCACGTGTGGTCTGCTTTGTGAGATTGCGTGGTTCATGCGCAGTTTTTTATTTATTTATTTATTTACTCGCTGATTTGTCTGTTATACCTTGCGTGTGTTGTACTGAGGTTTCTATTTTTTGGTCGCGGGGCGACAATTCAAATCTGCTGTCGAGTTCATTTTTTTTGTTAAACACTATATTGATTAGAGGCGATAGACAAGGAAACGAGGAAAATATAGCGGATGATATTATGTAATAATTGTAATGTAAATGTGAAGAAACCAGAGTGGATAAATAGATAACTTTCCATCGGCAGGGACCCAACCTGTGGCCATCAAATAACGCGTCCGAATCACTACCAACTGAGCTATGGAGGTGGTCGTCTACCCATCCACTTTATGGGGTATACGTGCGTATTCAAGCGCAACAGTGTTATTGAGCGCCGCTAGTGTCTATGACAGCAAGCGCGGAACACAATTTTTCTCCCTGTTTGTGCGACAATGCACGTGACTTTCTTTACGAGCTCACATGCTCGTACATCAAGTGAATAATGCATTCGGTTGCATGACGACATTTTTTTTTGTGGCAACGTTGCATCAAATACTTAGGAAAGCATTTGTTGTAATATAGTTTTCCGAACATTAAGCGCTTTTTTTCAATCTCATTGATCTAATAAACTTTTTTTGCACCAAATCCTCCAAGCCCTGCCTGGTTTATCACACTTTCCTTATTTATTCAATCACTCTTCTATATTGTTTTTTGCAGATGACACTAAGTATTTTCGTTAAGTCATTAAGAAAGCTTCCTTCGGTAGTCCTCTGAACCTGTTAAGACTGACTAACTACAGAAGTATTTGAAGACGAAAGCCTGCATTGAGAGATAGCTGAATACATCAAGCTTAAGTTCAACCTCGTTTTCATAGCCAAACCACTTGACTTTACTGCACTCGCTAAGAAGTACAATCTCTTCATTTTTATTACTACTAAGAGCTTTTGTGAATAGCAGCGATGAGTGTGTTCTTTCTCACGATTCTTGGTGAAGATTTTTATTTGGAATCTTCTATTCATACTGCCGTGCATGATTGCTTTCTCAGAGTTAAACACAAGTTTTTTTCATATTGGTTGAGATCCCTGCCTTTACTTAATCTCTCTCGTTGCTTTCTTCCGTCTCACAGACCAGATTATTTTACTGCCGCACTCGCGTGTAGAACTATATGAGGCAATCTTAGCACCATTTAACTCTCAGCGGTGCTAGCACGTGGACTGCGGGTAGGCTTACGCCAAGAGCTGGTGGTGAGCCGAACGTGGCGGCACGCGTGCAAGAACGACACGCCAGACGCTATTGCTTCCATTCATTCTAGCTGGCATGCTCACTAGCCGAAATATGCCTGTTCCCTGCTTTAAGCGCTACATTAGGTCTAAAGGGGCAAGCATTAATTTTATTTCGCCAACGGAAGGATCCTAGCAGGATGTAAAAAAAAGGTTCTTCAAACCAAGCACATT